GCTGTACAGTGGTACTGCTGATTAGGGATACTAGGCAGGTCAGTGAACTGATGATATCAACATACTGGTGGGAAGTAACTTAATACATCTACTCAGGAACTCGAATAACATTTTGAGGTATCTGCACTTTACTTGAGTATTCTGCTACTTCATACTATGACTTCACTCCATGTCAGAGACAAACCTTGTACTTTTTACATGTATCTGATAACTTCATTTCCTTTTCAGAATCAGATGAATCAAACCAAACCCAGTAGAATCATCATACTCTATTGATCCTGGTCAGAAATCCACCAGCTACCCAGCAGGATGTAAAGTACTTCACAGTATAAGTATATAAGGTAGTTAACACCAGCTCCACCTTTACCAGCTGCAGCATTAAAGTGATGAACACAGTAATGTATCAGTCAGTAGGATCCAGTAGTGTCAGAGACATTAGTGTGACATGGGCTGTTCCACTGCTACTTTGGATACTTCAAGTATAGTTGGATGCTAACAATGCTAATGTTTTGTATTTTACTTAAGTAACAGTTTGAATGCAGAACTTTGACTTCCATCCATCCATTATATACTGTATACCGTTTAGTCCTAAAGAGGGTCGTGGGGGGGCTGGAGCCAACCCCAGCTGATAGGTTGCCAGTCTATCATAGGGCTCACATGTAGACAAACAACCACAAACACTCACACTCACTCCTACGGGCAATTTAGAGTCACCAGTCAACCTAAGATCTGGACTGTGGGAGGAAGCCGGAGTACCTGGGAGAACCCACGCAGGCACAGGGAAAACATGCAGACTTCGCACAGAAAGGCACCGGGTTGGCCCAGGCTTGAACCCAGAACCTTCTTGCTGTGAGCGTTGGTTTCCCACCTGTCCACCAGATGCCCTCAGATTTACCTGCCCTGCACATACTGTACCTACACCTCACCCTGTCACCAAAGCCATGATTAGCAGTTTTTGCTACATGTATGAGTAATAGTAAAGCTAAGATCAAAAGTTTGGAGGCAGGACACAGGGGATAAAGAAAACAAGAGTCTGTTTTAGCATCCACAGAAAAGTAGAAGAAATTAGAAAAGGAGGAGATCTGGTCCCACTGGGTTGAAATGTAATGTTAATGAAGAAGCACAATACTGGCAGTTGTCAGTTTTGTTGGATACAGTGTAGTGCTTTATTTAGGATGTTCTAGAGGTGCAGCTGTTGATTTAGTAGTTCATAGGAGGTTCCAGTGGTTCTTCATGAACAGAGGTGTATTTTAGTTTAAATGCCCGAGCTCACCTGTGAGAGTTATGAAGCTACAGCTTTAGCAGTTAGCTTTTCTTAGGAAAAATGCTGGAAAGGGGAAACACAATGTCTGATGTGTTTAATCTAGTGTGTGTTTTGCTGGGGTTATGTGCTGGATGGCTATAACATCTTGGAATCTTGTTGCCAGGGAACCTGAACTAGTTCTTAAGGAGGATCAAGTGGGCCTCAGTGAGATTTCAAAAGTCCCTTAGCTGGTGGAACCCCTATGGGAGAGTCTCTGCCAGTTTTGTTTGTTCCTGTAAATCTGGATTATTGACATGGCCTGTCTGTGCAGGCATGGTGAACGTTTCATGGACTCCCTGTCCTGAATCAAACCATAAAAATGTCTCCCAGTAGAGTCTGTAGTAAAGCCAGCTGGTGGACGACACAGTGTTGTTGCAGCACTGTTGTTCGCATTTTTATATTGTATTGGCATTTGCTTATTGATCAAGGAAGTGCTTGTAAACAGATCAGCCATGAATGAGATCATCCTCAGCCTGCACTGATGGAAGATTACACTGCCAGTTGGTTTCCCACCTGTCCACCAGATGCCCTCAGATTTACCTGCCCTGCACATACTGTACCTACACCTCACCCTGTCACCAAAGCCATGATTAGCAGTTTTTGCTACATGTATGAGTAATAGTAAAGCTAAGATCAAAAGTTTGGAGGCAGGACACAGGGGATAAAGAAAACAAGGGTCTGTTTTAGCATCCACAGAAAAGTAGAAGAAATTAGAAAAGGAGGAGATCTGGTCCCACTGGGTTGAAATGTAATGTTAATGAAGAAGCACAATACTGGCAGTTGTCAGTTTTGTTGGATACAGTGTAGTGCTTTATTTAGGATGTTCTAGAGGTGCAGCTGTTGATTTAGTAGTTCATAGGAGGTTCCAGTGGTTCTTCATGAACAGAGGTGTATTTTAGTTTAAATGCCCGAGCTCACCTGTGAGAGTTATGAAGCTACAGCTTTAGCAGTTAGCTTTTCTTAGGAAAAATGCTGGAAAGGGGAAACACAATGTCTGATGTGTTTAATCTAGTGTGTGTTTTGCTGGGGTTATGTGCTGGATGGCTATAACATCTTGGAATCTTGTTGCCAGGGAACCTGAACTAGTTCTTAAGGAGGATCAAGTGGGCCTCAGTGAGATTTCAAAAGTCCCTTAGCTGGTGGAACCCCTATGGGAGAGTCTCTGCCAGTTTTGTTTGTTCCTGTAAATCTGGATTATTGACATGGCCTGTCTGTGCAGGCATGGTGAACGTTTCATGGACTCCCTGTCCTGAATCAAACCATAAAAATGTCTCCCAGTAGAGTCTGTAGTAAAGCCAGCTGGTGGACGACACAGTGTTGTTGCAGCACTGTTGTTCGCATTTTTATATTGTATTGGCATTTGCTTATTGATCAAGGAAGTGCTTGTAAACAGATCAGCCATGAATGAGATCATCCTCAGCCTGCACTGATGGAAGATTACACTGCCATAAAATGTAATGGGAGGAAACATAACAGGGACAAAGGGATGGAGCAGGACTCGGACTTTGCTGCATGTTATGTGCAGCTGCAGACACAGTGACTACAACAGCTACACGGAGGCTGAAACCAGCCACAGGAAATTAACAGGCAACTTTCATGCCAAGATATCAGACATTTAATCATTTCAGTTTCTCATATGTGACAATTTGTTGCTTTTCATTTTAATTAAAAAACATAATTCACTTTTAATTATTTAAGGTTTGAACAGTTTGTTTGACAACACACGGGTAACTGTGATGACGAGCATGTCTCATTGTTCATTTTACAAACTACACAACTGATTAATCAACAAAATAATCAGCAGATTAATCCATAGCGCAAATTATGAGGTTTGCAATTCCATAAAAAACTATTAAATATAAGTTCCACCTTAACCAACCGTGTGTACATTAATGTCTCAGCAATAATAATGTAATGAAATAAAACTATAACATAAACACTTACCTCCTCCCTTTAGTGATGCTCTCGCCTTTTCCCTCTTCCCTCCACCTTGTTCTTCCCCGCTCTCCTCTCTCACTTCCCTTCCTTCCTTCCTCCCCCTCCTCCCCCCCTCTCTCCCAGCTCTCCGCCCAGCCAGACCGGAGTCTGTCAGTCCGGTGTGTCCGTCCAGCAGCAGTTTATCACACGTTTTATATAACCCGCGGACGCGTTTAAAGACGCAGATGATACGGCACCGGATCCTCACCTGTGAGGCTGGAGGGCAGCTGTGGGTTCTTTTACAATGAGCTTAACGGACTTTACCTGCAGACGTTTCACTTCATGTGAGTTGGAATGACTGACCAGCAGCGTGGCGTTGTTCTGATTTCATTCACTGGGGACAAATCGCTGTTGAAAGCGTTCTCTGTCGTTTGTGACCCCGTGTTGAACCACCACAGGGGGGAGTGTGACAGCAAAGCGGCGCTGGCATCTGACAGGTGAACACACAAGTTTAATTCACTAAGTCACATGATGGACATCTCGGCTGTGATTCATGGAATGCTGCTTTTGCTCGTTTCCAACAACAATAACGCTTTTTAAACTTTGAAACGCGACTTTTCCTGCACATTTTTTCACACCACATCAGTTGACAATTTATATAAAACATTTTCGGGAACACGTTTGAAAACCGGATTTATTTTGGACATTTTCCTTCATCCAGAGGAGCAGAAACGGCTGAACAGCTGCTGTCACTCCGCGGAGATGGGTGGTTAGACTCTGCCTTTTAAAACATCACCAAAAACTTAGAGACATCATGAAGAGGAAACCAGACTCCCGCTGAGGTACAAGAGGAAACCAGACTCCCGCTGAGGTACAGGGAAGACAGTCCATTTTAGAAGTGACATCATTTTTATGGGGTATTGATTTACATTTGAGAGGATAATTGACATTTTGACTACTGCATGTTTCTATTCGGGGGGAGACGATGCTTTTAAGCACCATTGCGTTCCCATTACAAAGTCAGCAATACAAGATTGGTGTCACCATGGCCGGATTAAGTTCCTGAGGGGTCTCCTGGGCAATAAGGTGTTGCTGGGCCCCACTGTATGAGACAGCTTCATTATTTATCCAGACACCCAGAAACCCACCAGTAGAACTGAACTGGTTAGTTGAGTGATAGAAAATTGATTGGCAACAATTTTGATAAGTAATTGAATCTGACATTTTTAAACAAACATACCTGCTTCTCACATGTGAATATGTGCTAGTTTCTCAGTTTTCTATGACAGCAAACTGGATATTTGTGTTTCTGACAACTTGCCAGACAACAACAGCAATACGATTTTGTTAGACATCACCTAATAATGATCAACATACACTCTGTGGTCAGTTTATTAGGAACACCTTTCTTAAACTGAGTCAGTCCTAATCCCCTTCCATGAAGGTAATGATGTTCAGTTTGTGTTCAGACTGTCTCACAGAAGTGTTGATTCACTTGTGTGATCACTGTGGCAGCTGGAGTTTGTGCTGCTGTTCACCTGTACTTAGATATACATAGAGCAGTTTCTGGGATTTAGTTTTATTGATATAGAAAAAAGCCTTGTCATCAGCCATTTGACAACACTTTCAGTGGAATGTGTTCATTCTGTGTTGAGTGAGGTGGGCAGAGCTGGCTGCAGTGCTGACCAGCTTCAGGGGAGTTTTTCTCCCACGACTCAGCATGGTCTCACAGTAACAAAGGCCACTCAGGGCTGATGCTGACAAAATTATTACTGTGAATTCAACCATGACTAACCATGCAGGTCTCAGCATCCTGATGGTTTTATTACATTTTAGTTACAGGAGAATGTATGCATAATTTTTAAGCTCTATCAGGACAAGACTTCATTTATGCTGCATGCTTTGTTGATGTCCCCTTGTGTCTGTCTGCAGTTCACACAGATAAATAATTCAGCTGTGGTGGAAACGGACTACCTGCTGGTCAGAGGATGGCCTGTTGGAAGGAGGGTGCCACCCTCCTGCTGGTTCTGCTGGTTGTGCTTGACCTACAAGTGACCACTGGGCGACCGTCTCACCACCGCAGCTTGAGACGTCAAACTCGAGGGCACCATGAACAGTGGGCACAGCAGAACATCACACTGGCTGTCATCTTACCTCAGAGCAACACAGCTTACCCATGGGCTTGGCCTCGCATCGGTCCTGCCCTGGAGCGGGCTGTCAGAACCGTCAATGCCAACCCCACCCTGTTGCATGACCACCACCTCACCTATGCCTTTAAGAGTAGTGAAAACAAAGATGGCATCTGCTCTGAGTCCATTGCTCCGCTCATGGCTGTGGATCTGAAACTTGCCTACGACCCGTGGGCTTTCATCGGGCCTGGGTGTTCCTACACCTCCGCTCCTGTTGGCCTCTTCACCACCCACTGGGATGTCCCCATGGTTACAGCGGGCGCTCCAGCCGTGGCCTTTTACGGTGGAGTATATCCTTCCATCACCAACACTGGCCCCACCCACAAGAAGCTTGGGAGGTTTGCTCTGCGGATCTGCGAGAACTTTGGATGGCGGGAGCACGTGATGCTCATGTTCAGTGACAATAAGGTGGATGATCGGCCATGTTACTTCGCCGTGGAAGGTCTGTACACGGAGTTGAAGAGCATCAACATCACGCTCGTGGACAGGGTGTTTGAAGAGAACAAGGTGCCTATCAACTACTCCCAAATCCTCTCCGACATTGAGAACGACGGCCGAGGTGAGTGAAATACCATCACCAGCTAAATGTTGGTTCAAGTACATTTTCTGTTTGTTTGAAATAGCTTTTGACTAACTTCGGCTGCCAGTGTCTCTGTTCTCTCTCAGTCTGATTCTGCTCACCTGCGTTCTGGTGGGCTTCTTTTTGTACCAGGCCTGTTTCGGCTCAGGTCTTTGAAAACTGCTTGATGCTTGCAGGATCTAGTAGGTTTTCCATGTATCTGTTTGGTACCGGGTGTGAAATTTTAAAGCTGTGATGTGACCATGTTGATAAAAGGAACAGGTCAGTGCTATCTGGGGAACAAATGGCGGCACTATTTCTAAATAGCCTCAAAACTAACTTTGCATTCTGTACTGCAATGTCTTGTTACCTATCAGCTGCATTCTACACTAATACCAGTATAACTTCAATAATCTAACACCTGTCAGTATAATGGCCTACCTATTAATCAGTTCAGCTCTACTTATCAGCTCATTTCTCAGGACACTGGCTATATCAGTTATGTTTTAAACCTTGACACCATTTAAGGAGAACTCCACTGATTTTGTACATTAAAGTGTGTTTACATAGGTGTTGGCAGTACTACTGCATATGTGAGGAAAAAGTTGTATAAATGCTTTAGTGTCCCCAGAAGACTACAAAAGTAAAATTGCCTGGGGGTGTGGAGTTAGAAAGACGTTAGCTGTCCAGATGTGTAGCTACGTCTCATCTCTGCTCCAGGCTCCAGGACACATTAGCTGCTACTAACGCAACTCACCTGAATTTCTGTCCAGTCTTTAAGCAGATGAGTTGCATTGTGGGTAATGCACTGTCTCTGATTCTGCTGCATCTGCATATCAGTCTGCTGATTGGTTTTGATCCTTCTATTGTTCATCGTGAATCTGAAAATGCCACTGGAGTACACCCCTGAATCAGTGGAGTACTCTGAAAAGAACATTCACTCAAACTGCTGATGTTGATACTAGTAACATGTAATTCTTATGGTCCTAATAATACCACACAAACCTGCAGTCTTGTGTTTGACCAGTTCACCTCAGGTACTTGGATTTTCATTTCTTTCTTTTTTTTTTCTTGGCAACAACTAAAACGTGAACCACTTTCTTGTGGTCAAAATACAGAAAAGAAAAGTTGCTGCACCAGACAGTGTTGGCATGAATAATGGTTATATTATTGTTGAGAAGTGACACTTCATTTAAATATTCTTGTCCTGTCTTCTATAATGACATACTGTATGAATAGAAACACTTCATTTCCTAGTATTTTATCCATTTATATTACTGTGATCCAGGTGAGAACACTTGACTTTAATTGGTTCCAGGATGCTTGTAGATCTGGGATGTGCACGTATTGAGCGGCTCAGTCAGCTGTGTTTATTGGAGAATGTCTATTTAAGCCTACTCGTGATGTGTGTGTGAATTTCCTGCCTGTAAGTGGAATCGATTTATCCTATTTTGTCTCAGCTGTTCAGCATCTCCCTTTTCCAGTAATTCAATTTCAGAAGGAGAAGATTCCTTCTGATATAAACGGCGAAAAACAGGACAGGCTCGTTCTTATTATAGTGTTCGATAATTACACACTAGTGTGTTTGACGCAGCAGGGTTTTCATCAAACTTCAGTTTGAGTTCCACCTCCCCACTGAGAACAGGCTGAAGGAATTAGCCTCAGCTCTCATAAAAATGACAAATAACAGCCCAGAGCAGGCTGCAGAAGATGAACAAAGCAGGAGAGGACTGGTCAAAGGTCAGCAGCGATGGACTCTAATAAGCACTCAGTTCAGCTGGATTACCTGCTTATGTTGTGATGTTGAGGAGCACAACAACAGTGTAAATGTAATAGCTTACAAATTACTAGTTACCCTTTTTAAAATAACATAACTATTTGAATTCATCAAAGTAATCTACCTCATGACATTTGATTATTTTTCCAACAAATGTTTTAAACTGGGCAATGAAGCTGAAACGTCCTACACACATCTGTTTAAACCAGGCAGTGTAACCACAACAGTGCTCAACACAACTCGAATAACCTCAGATTTGTCCACTAAATGGTGCGCTGGCTTTATTTTGATGGGGTGGGGACAGGGAGAGAAATGGGCTGGGGTCGGTTTCACTGACAGTCTGCTTTGTCTTACTGTTCGTGGTGCACAGGACAAACTGTTGTATACCTGACACAAAGCGCAGTGTGTATAGTGTGAGTCATTAATTTAGTCTGTTGCTGCCCTGTAGAAATCTGTAAAATCCTGGACTGGTACTGCACATAAATAACACAGTGGGGGGAGTTTATTTTCTGAGTAGTTGCAGTTAACTGTACACTAACTTAACTGTAGGTGTTTCCTCGGGTTTGACATGGAGCATTGTCACCGCTGGTAAACTATCTTTACACTGTACAGTAATGTTAGAGCCCATTTTGATTCAGAAGGAAAATAAAGCAGTTTCTACCACTGAAAGATGTTCTTGTTCAATGAGGTGGTGCCCACGTTGGCGTCGTCGCCTGGTAACAGCCAGTCATGGCAGATTCTGGTTCCTTAGGCCTGTGACACACCAAGTTGAGAGCTGGCTGTTGGGGAGCATCTGTCTCCCTGGTTTTGCTATGTCCTGTACTGTTGGACCCTGTTAGCAGCTTTTCAGCTTGTCAGTGTGAGAGACCACTGATTGGCTGTTAAGCTCAGAGAGCTGGTGCATGAGAAGAGAATGGTTCAGGAAAGGTCCTTGAACCTGCTGCTGTAGTAATCATGATTTCACCCATTTAGTGTGGTTTCTCCTTATTTTTTACCTCAGTGACCGCCTCTGTTCTTCCGCAGCCAGAAGACCAACGACAGTGCCGTTTGCAGCTTCATATCTAACAGCTATAAACTACCTGTGAGGAGTGAGAGCTGCTTTGTTTATTTTGTATTTCTT